TTTTTGTTTTAGCATTGATTTCTAATTTCATTCCTTTATACTCTGATAAGAATGCAGGGTAGTATCTCTACTTTTTTGTATTTACTAAGAGTTGCTTTGTGGCATAATATATGGTCTATTTTAGAGAAGGATCCATGTGCTAATGAGAAGAAAATGTATTCGCTCGTTGATAAATAAAATGTTTTATATATGTCTTAAGTCTAAGTTATTTATTGTATTATTTAGTTCTACAGTTTCTTTGTTTAGCTTTTGTTTGGAAGATCTAYCAGCTTTTGTTTGGAAGATCTATCCAGTGGTGAAAGCGGTGTGTTAAAGTCACCCAGAATTATTGTGTTGTGGTCTGTTTGATTCCTGAACTTGAGAAAATTTGATTGATGAACATAGATGCTCCATTGTTTGGGGCATACATATTTATAACTGTTATGTCTTGTTGATGTATGGTTCCCTCAAGTAGTATAAAATGTTCATCTTTATCCATTTTGATTAACTTTGACTTGAAGTCTACTTTATTTGATGTGAGGGTGGAAACCCCTGCTTGTTTACGCAGACCATGTAAATGGTATATTTTTTCCCAACCTTTCACCTTCAGTCTGTTGACATCTTTTCCTATGAGGTGAGTCTCTTGAAGGCAGCATATTGTTGGGTCTTTTTAATCCAATCTGCCAGTCTATGTCTTTTGATTGGTGAGTCTGGGCCATTAACATTCAAGGTAATTATTGAGACCTGATTTGTATTTTTGGTCATTTTGTTTATTTTTGGTATTTAACTTGACTTGGTTTCTCCTTTGGTTGGCTTTTCCTTTATTGTAGTTCTTCCCTTTGCAGATTTTCATTGTTATTTTTTTATTTCCTCCTCCTGGAATATTTTGCCAAGAATGTTCTGTAGTGCAGGCTTTCTTGTTATAAATTCTTTTAGCTTTTGTTTAGTACAGAAGGTTTTTATTTCATTATCAAATCTGAGGCTTAATTTTTCTGGATATAAGATTCTTAGTTGGCATTCATTATCTTTCAGAGCTTGGTGTATGTTGTTCCAGGATCTCTGGCTTTGAGAGTCTGGGTTGAAGAATCTGCTGAGACCTGAATTGGTCTTTCCTTATAGGTAATCTGATTTTTTTTCTCTTGTGGCCTTTAAAATTCTATCCTTATTCTGTATGCTAGGCATTTTTATTATAATGTGTCTTATTGTAGATCTGTTGTTATTTTGTACATTTGGTGTCTTATAGGCCTCTTGTATTTGATTTTTCAATTCATTCTTCATGCTTGGGAAATTTTGTGATGTTATTTCATTGAAGAGACTGTGCATTCTTTTGGTTTGAATTTCTGAACCTTCCTCTATCCTAATAAATCTTAAATTTGGTGTTTTGATGCTATCCCATAATTCTTGAATGTTCTCTTCATTGTTTCTTACCATCTTCATTGTGAGGTCAGCTTTATTTTCAAGATTGTGTATTTTGTCTTCATTGTCTGAGGTCCTGACTTCCAAGTGATCTAGTATGTTGATGATGCTTTCTATTGAGTTTTTTTTTATTTGGCTTATTGTTTCTTTCATTTCATGAATTTCTGTTGTTGTTTTTCCCCAGAATCTCTCTTTCTTGAAGTAATCTCTTGCTACCTGTCTTTGCTCTCTTATCTCTTTGTTGGTGTGATTGATATTTGCCTGTATCTGCTCATTTAGGTCATTCTTTAATTCCCAGATCATTTAGTTATGAATATTCTGAACTCCTTCTCTGACATTTCATCTACTGTGCTATCTGTGGATTCTATTGTTGTAGTATTTTGCTTTGTTTGGGGCACTTTCCTCCCTTGGTTTTTCATGATGTCTCTGTGTGTTCCTCTCTTGCAGTGTAGATCTGAGGTATTACAGCTTTGCCCTATTGTCTTATAATGTCCCTGCAGGTTACCAATACCTCACCTTTAAGGGGGAGATTAACATTACAGCACTCAAAGTACCCAATGTGCAACCATAGATCCRTTAGTTTCTATTTTTACATTTACACTTTTGTTGCTATAATCAGAAATGATGAGTTTGGTTATCTTCTACCATATAGTTGATGGGTTTGCATAATGGTTTACAGTTTCTAATGGTAGAAGTGGTGGCTTGGGGGTGGGCTGAGATGTTTGTGAGGTAGGATGTTAGTAGGAGAAACAAGAGAGAGGCAATCCTATGCAAGACTCCCTGTTACCTTAGCAACAGGATAACTGTTAGCACCYCTAGTAAAGATACCTCTGGTGCAGCCAGGCTCACAGGGACTTTGGTGACATCTTACCAGGTCCTTATTGTTGTCCCTTGATAGAAGCCACGATATGCCAGTTTTGGGGCAGTGGCAGCTTCAAGCCTATATGTACCCTGATGTTGAGCCGTGGAGCCACACTTTGGTGAATAAGGAACCCCAGCTCAGGCTGGGCCTTTCTCTGGGTCACCAGGCCGCGTGGAGCTGCAGAGCTTCTAATATGATCTAACTCGTTTTTATATCTGTGTCTCCCTACTCCTGTCCTCAGGGTCTCACTTAGTGCCCTCTTGTTGTGGCTCTATAATGCTTTTTAAAGATGAAGTGAGAATCTTGGAACTGAAGTTATCGAAGAAGACACCCATCAGCAAGAATACATTTTGAAAATTTGGTTCATGTAGATAAATGACTGAAGGTATTAGGTATCAGATGAGAAGTTATGGAATTTTAGAATAGGAGTAAACCTGAGATCATTTGGTCTGATCCCTTCATTCCATATTTTAACTCAGAGAGTGACTGGCTTGAGATCACAGAGTTAGCTGGTCCGTGTCAGGGACAGAGCCAAAGCTTCTGAGGCTTTTCCCGTGACAGCAGCTTCCTCATAAGGTCATTTGTGGCCTACCGAAATTGCTACAGGTAGAGCAGATTCAAGTTTGATTTTAAGATGCAGTTTTTGGATAGGGAGTCTTTTGTGACAGTTTCGAGTGAACTTTTTCTACTTTTTTTTTTTTTTTTGGTTTGAGAACTTTGTTAAGCTATGATGATGGGTTCTGCTGGTGTCTTCCGGGACAGCCTATTATCATTTGCATCATTTAATGGCTTGTTATTCAGGCAAACTCAATAAAGCACTTAGGAGATTAGAGAATTGCAGCTGGAATAAATAACAAGGCAAGGTGCCCATTTCTACATGGTGTGTTGGATTCCAGTGATGATACTGCAGTAAAAGGCAGATAGGATCAGACAGGCTGCTGGAGATTTAGAGATCTGCCTTGTCTATGACTAAACAGATTCAGAGAGAATCATGGACAAGAGTTAAACAAATAACCAAATCAAACCAAACTGACCAACCAAATAACAACAAAAAACAGGGTAATCCAAACCCAGCAGTTTTGGGATATTATTAGTGTAAGGCATATATATACTTGAATGCATCATGAATTATCCTTATTTATATTTTATCCTTGAATTTACATAATTTTTCAAAATTAAGAATTAAGTGCCAYCTTTATTTTTCTTTTATTTTGCAAATAGTTTTGGATTTGTTATAATTTTCACCCTTAATGTCCCTGTCTTTGAGATGGGCAATATCAGGGTACAAGTGTTTTCTGGACCTAGGATTAACAAGTGATGGAGGAGCATGTGATGAAAACAAGCAAGAGTTTGAACAAACCATTGTCTCATGTCATGTGGTCACTTACTCATCAGGGAGAGGGTTCTACTTGCTCTTTCAATGTGACCTTTACTTCTTTGTAGCACATTCCCCTTTTGCAGTTACTTATCTGGTTTTGTGATTATTTATTCCATATCTGTTAACCTTGTATAACTCCTGAGGACAGGCCTTGTATCTATCTTGTTCACCTCTGTATTCCTACCTCCTCTTACAGTGTCTTGCACATGTCAAGTGCTTAATAAATATTTGTTGATTGAGTAAAGAGATGAATGCAGGAAGGRAAGTTTGCCTTCTGGATTTTAGGATAAACATAAGTGGGAGTGTAGAGGTAAATTGCATATGCCCCCRAACAGAATTTTTGGGTTCAGCAACCAGCCATGCCACTTTGGACAATATGGTTTCGGGCAACTCTTTTCTTCTCTCTGTGCTTTTGTTTTCTCATGTATAAAATGTGATTATAATTCCAAGCTCACAGGGTTGTTGTAAGGATTTTTAAATGAGTTAATCCAGGTAAAGCACTTAGCATACAGGACTGGCAATAATAAATGCCCAAGAAATACTGCTTCCTATTATTAGTAGCCATTTTTTAGCTTATGAGAGACTTTTGAAGCTGTTTATTTTTCTTTCCTTGAAGCTTTTGGATTGCTTTGGGATTCCTGTGTTGATGGCTCTCTCGTGGTTTGTTCTTCGTGCAAGATACAGAGTGATCCACTTCATTGCTGTGTTTGTCTGTCTGTTGGGGGTAGGAACCATGGTTGGTGCAGACATCTTAGCTGGGAGGGACGACAACTCAGGTAAGAACTTGTGTGTTATTCCTTTGTGGTTCAGTCACAGAAAAGTTTTGCTCATGTTAGCACTTTTAGTTTTGCAAAGATGCAGTCAAAGGCAGTAAACATGTCCTGGTTAACTATCTTTTACATTTTATTTTCAGCTGTACTTGTTTCTGGTGTTTTGTAACTGTTTCCACAAAACAGTCTTCCTGTTCCTACTGGCCCACAGTCCTTCCCTGCTCTTTTTTTTTTTTTCCCCTTCTCAGTAAATAGTTTCTGGTTTTGTCTCATGAGAGAGTTGTTTCTTTGTATATTTGCAATCATCTTCTTTTGGTATGAACATTTAGATTAGTTACTGAAAAATCTATTGTAGAGTCTTCTTGTTTTTCTGTTTTTATCAAAAATGAGACTTGGTGTTCTCTGGTGACATCTAAAGTCACTGTAGATGACTTTGGTGAAATTTAGACTTTGTGTCAGATTTAGACAAGAGCGTTTCCATGCTTCCTGCCCTGTGGTTTTTAATATATCCCCTTCCACAAATTCTATGAATTTGTCAAGTTATAGAATCACTTTCTGAGGCCTCATATTATGGAATATAATATTATTTTCCAGTTATTGAGGAGTAAAAATATGAAAACTTTGCCATATAGTGAGAATTGAATGAACTTCTAGAAACCAGGGTTAAATAAAAATCTTACTTAAATGAACAGGAATCAGGTAAACCCCTAGTTCACTTATTGACAATATATTCCTCTTTGTGTCTTGCCTGCCTGTAGGGAGTGACGTGCTGATTGGTGACCTCTTGGTCCTGCTCGGAGCTTCCCTCTATGCCRTTTCTAATGTGTGTGAAGAATACATTGTGAAGAAGCTGAGCAGACAGGAATTTTTAGGAATGGTGGGCTTATTTGGAACAATTATCAGTGGCATACAGCTGTAAGTGTCTAAGATTTTTCTTAAGAACGAACTAAACAAATAAATCAGCGATTGCTTTCTAACTACTAATATTCATTTGTTGGGTTAAGCCCAAATTCACTTCTGAAATAGAAAGCTGATAAAGATTTGTTAGAGGATTGTTAAATATCAATATTATTATGTTTTATTTTCTTATGCATGTGGGATTCCATAGGATTCCTGACTACAATGTTGTGGAGGCCTTGCCAGTAAGAACTTTTTCTTTTAAAATTATTTTCAAAAAAATGTTAACACATTAACTTTCTAATCTTGTTCAAGGGAAAGGAGTATGCCATGTTTTCCTTCTATAGCTGACTGCTGTTGAAGAACACTTGCAAGGGAGTCTCACATATCATTTTTTTTTTTGGTGGTGGTGGGGTACCAGRAATTGAACCCAGGGGTGCTTAACCACTAAGCCACATCCCCAGCTCTTTTTAATATTTTTACTTAGAGACAGGGCCCCACTGAGTTGCCTAGGGCCTTGCTAAGTTGCTGAGGCTGGCTTTGAACTCGCAATCCTCCTGCCTCAGGATTTTATGCAGCTGTGATTATAAGTGTGTGCCAATGTACCTGGCTGAGTCTGACACATCTTTATGGACTCCTTTGGTTTTATTCTTTGCCATTTTTATTGAAGATAATTATTTCCTAAGAAAAATTCAAARGTCAACATAATTCCTTACTTTTGCTGAAGTATAGCAACTAACTACTTATGAAATAGTAAAAATTAATATGTGGCTCTCTCTGCAACCTCTTGTTTTTATCTTAGATTGATTGTGGAATATAGGGATATTGCCAGCATTCACTGGGACTGGAAAATTGGTATGTAAATAAATAATAATTTTGTTATCCATGTTCTATCCCCAACTGACAAAAGGCACACCAAAAAACAAATGTTTTATTTTAATAATATTTATATGTCTTTGTCAAATCACACTGATGATAGAGATTTACATTGAGTTTTCTCTGAGAATTGGTAGATGAACCCTTATAAAATTGATTTTTAATTTTTAACTCCAGGAATAGCTTTTTTTAAAAAAAAAAAACTATGAATTCTGAACAAGACTGATGACTGAACTTCGTCACACTAGCTTTCAATTAGATCTCTATTTAGGTCCTCCAACGTGTGAAAGTTGCCATCTGCTTGTTGTAATTTGTGAAGCATTAACTGGAAGCATCGAAGGTTGTGTAATCACTCACCACCTCTGGTTGCTCCTCTCATCTGACATTGCTAGGTGTCTGCACAAAAATAAAACTGAAGAAAATGTTAAGAGAGTGAAGAAAGATTTGAGCCGTATTTTTTTTTTTTTATTGGTTGTTCAAAACATTACAAAGTTGAGCCGTATTTAATGATGGGTGAAAAGAAGTTAAACAGTACATAAATGTCACTGAAGATTATGTACCATGCTTGAATAACTTGATTCAATTAAATAACAGAGAGAGAGAGAGAGAGAGAGAGAGAGAGAGAGAGAGAGAGAAAGAGAGAGAAAATGAATATATGTATATATTTGCACTGAGCATAGCACAGGTTAAAGAAGTAGATACAAAGCGGAAACGTTGCTATTGTGATCAGCATCCACATGACTAGCATTGTCCCAAAGAGGATAGTTATATCGTGCCATCTTGGAGCATTTAATTTAATGTGATGTACAAAATACAAAGATCTCACATCTGTCTTGGATGTTCTAAAAATACTTTATTCTGAATCCAGTTACACAAACCATACCCTAGTGACCAAACAAATAAAAGGAACAAAAGATAATGAGTGATTTCTCTTGACACATGACATTGAGTCTGTTTTTATTGACCTTTTATCACAGAATCATTTGCCCTGGGAGGGTGGATAGGATAGCAGAGGATGATAAGAGCTGATAACTCAGTCACACTATAAGCAAGATATTATGGTCTTCATCATCCAACACCCTATTAGATTCTTAAGGTTTGTCATCTACATCACAGCTTGGTATTTTGTTATTATTTTCCAGAGAACTTTGTAGTTGCATTTGCAGTACTACTATTAGGAGAAGCTTTGTAGATAGTGTGTTAAAGGATCAGGGAGTTTTATATGGCAGCCAAGCTGAAGCCACTTTGTCTTGTGATTTCTCCCCATAATATTAGATATTCCATTTTTCCACAGCCCTGCTGTTTGTGGCATTTGCTCTCTGTATGTTTTGCCTATACAGCTTCATGCCATTGGTGATTAAAGTCACTAGTGCCACCTCTGTCAACTTGGGCATCCTGACAGCTGATCTCTACAGCCTTTTCTTTGGACTCTTTCTGTTTGGTTATAAGGTAAGAAAATAGATCATGTTCAAATAGGAACACTTACCTGGTGGAAAAGGAAGTTTCTTTAAGCAGGTTTCTTTAAACTCTCTATCCAAAAATAAAACCTCATCCTCTTGACAAGGATTTCACTGGACAAGCCTAACTCCTTTTGTTTCCAAATTAGAAAATCGGTCCCAATAAGAATCGCCCTTCTGGAGTTATTCTAAAGGGTGAAATGCAGTGCACTTTGTTTTTGATTTAGCCAAGAACACTCGGTTTTGGAAATGCTAATATGTGTTGCCAGGTGATAACCAAACAATCCCAGAGCGATGCTATTGACCTTGCAAACTAGACTGAGCACTTGGGGCTTTTCTCTTCACTCTTTGCCCAGATACAGAATCTGCAACACCTGATGGAAAGGAAGGAGGAAAAGGTACATTATCACGAGTGTGTGATTGCAATCATAAGGGACCTGAAAGGTAGTTCAGTCCCGTGGTTTTTCAGATTTTTTTCTGTCTCCAGAGCATCACAGCACACCATAAGCACAACCCACTCTCATCATTAATAGTTTCTGCTAAATGCACTAATGATCAAGGGGAATAGGGTGGGAGGAAATAAATCAGCGTCCTCAGGGGAAGCAAGAGAATGAATACRTAATTTGAAAAAATTGTATCCTCAGTCTGGACCACCCTCTCTTGAGAATTACTGATTATATTATTTATTTTAGAGATGGGAAACAAAGGCCCAGGGAAGTTATATGTAGTTAAGTTGCTTAGCCTTAGTGAGCAAGGCTTTACCACTGGTTAGTGGTGAAGTCATGACCAAATCTGAAGTTGTCATCCTCTTCTTTCTCTTCTAGCAATCCAATTTTCTTTTCACTAAACTTCCTACCCCCCCCCCCCGCATTTTCATTTATAAAATGAGAATGTCAAGTTAATGAATTCATCATGTTGTCTCATACATCAGAGAGAACCAAATAAGTAAATATTTTTTTGACTTCACAGCCTATTTGAGAACTCTTAGGGCAGCATTTTCCATACTTTCTGATCTCAGGACACTTTGAAATGCTTAAAAATTGAGGGCCCAAGTCACTATTTCCTATTATTTATCATATTAGAAATTAAAGCTGAGAAATTTAAAAATATTAATTTATTAACACATTGAGAAAATAATAAACTCATATAGTACATAATAGCATAAATAATATTTTTTATGAAAAATTATGTTGTCTAAGATTTTTTAAAAATGAAATTGATTTACATTTTTTAAAGATTAGTATATCTTATTTTTTTTAGTTGTAGATGGACACAATACCTTTATTTTATTTTTCATTTTTAGGTAGTTTTTATTCTAATTTGTTATATATGACAGCAGAATGCATTGCAATTTATATTACACAAATAGARCACAATTTTTCATATCTCTGGTTGTATACAAAGTATATTCACACCATTCATGTCTTCATATGTGTAATTAGGATAATGATGTTCATCTCATTCCACCATCTTTTTTACCCCCATGACCCCTCCCTTCCTCTCCCATCTTTTTTAAAAAAATTTTTAAATTTTTTAATTTTTTTAATTGGTTGTTCAAAACATTACAAAGCTCTTGACATATCATATTTCATACATTAGATTCAAGTGGGTTATGAACTCCCATTTTTACCCCAAATACAGATTGCAGAATCACATCGGTTACACATCTACATTTTTACATAATGCCATAATAGTAACTGTTGTATTCTGCTACCTTTCCTATCCTCTACTATCCCCCCAACCCCCCCCATCTTCTCTCTCTACCCCATCTACTGTAATTCATTTCTCTCCTTGTTTATTTTCCCATTCCCCTCACAACCTCTTATATGTAATTTTGTATAACAATGAGGGTCTCCCTCCATTTCCATGCAATTTCCCTTTTCTCTCCCTTTCCCTCCCACCTCATGTCTCTGTTTAATGTTAATCTTTTCTTCCTGCTCTTCCTCCCTGCTCTGTTCTTAGTTGCTCTCATTATATCAAAGAAGACATTTGGTATTTGTTTTTTAGGGATTGGCTAGCTTCACTAAGCATAATCTGCTCTAGTGCCATCCATTTCCCTGCAAATTCAATGATTTTGTCATTTTTAGTGCTGCGTAATACTCCATGGTGTATAAATGCCACATTTTTTTTTATCCATTCATCTATTGAAGGGCATCTGGGTTGGTTCCACAGTCTAGCTATTGTGAATTGTGCTGCTATGAACATCGATGTGGCAGTATCCCTGTAGTATGCACTTTTAAGGTCTTCAGGGAATAGTCTGAGAAGGGCAATAGCTGGGTCAAATGGTGGTTCCATTCCCAGCTTTCCCAGGAATCTCCATACTGCTTTCCAAATTGGCCGCACCAATTTGCAGTCCCACCAGCAATGTACAAGAGTACCCTTTTCTCCACATCCTCACCAGCACTTGTTGTTGTTTGACTTCATAATGGCTGCCAATCTTACTGGAGTGAGATGGTATCTTAGGGTGGTTTTGATTTGCATTTCTCTGACTGCTAGAGATGGTGAGCATTTTTTCATGTACTTGTTGATTGATTGTATGTCCTCCTCTGAGAAGTGTCTGTTCAGGTCCTTCGCCCATTTGTTGATTGGGTTATTTGYTATCTTATTGTCTAATTTTTTGAGTTCTTTGTATACTCTGGATATTAGGGCTCTATCTRAAGTGTGAGGAGTAAAAATTTGTTCCCAGGATGTAGGCTCCCTATTTACCTCTCTTATTGTTTCTCTTGCTGAGAAAAAACTTTTTAGTTTGAGTAAATCCCATTTGTTGATTCTTGTTATTAACTCTTGTGCTATGGGTGTCCTATTAAGGAATTTGGAGCCCGACCCCACAATATGTAGATCAGAGCCTCACAAGGGCTAGGCAAGCGCTCTACCACTGAGCTACAATCCCAGCCCTGATTTACTTTTCAAAGAATCTGTTTAATGTTCAGCTTAGTAGAAAACAGTTGGAATCTTGCATCTGCTTCTTCATTCAGCCTTGTGATTACACGTCATGTAGCCTCTGGAACATTCCTCTGTGCTCTTGTAAGACAGTGGAAGTGAAAAGGGCAGATATTATCTTAGTATCATTGTGAAAATAGTTTTGAATTTACAGATTCCCCTCAAGGGGTTCCCTCAAAGGTCTTTGGATCACACTTTGAGAACTGCTCTCTTAGAAGCTCCCCCCCCCCATCATACCCACAATAGAGGCTGGTTGACCTGCTTGCTCTCTTTCTCCATAATCATGGAGCAGATAGTTACCATGTTGGCTGTTACCTGATAAATTTTAATTTCAGTAAGCGATAGCAGCTATATTTCTTTGTTCTAGTAAACTTTGTATCCACATAGTAATCCTTTATGCTGATGTATGCTCTTTCCCAGGAACCAGCCATGAACTCACATACTTATCTGAACTGTTGATACATGAAGCTCACTGGGTTCTCAGAAATTGTTGCTTATGAACTGTAAACCTTTGTCTTGCAAAGCCATGGAGGACAGAAACCAGATTTTATCTTTGCAGACTTGGTTAAGATATTACTGAATTAAGACAGAAGGAGTATTTATAGTTTATTGGAAGCATCACAAAAAAGTAACAAATGTCAAAGTGAATCTGAGAAGTGGTCCTGACAGGCCCATACCCCCCCCCCCCCCATGAGAATTGTCAAGGGTTACAAAATACTTCTTAAGATACTGAGCTGCTCCTTGGTTCTGTGGTTGCATTTCTCATGACTGCCACTAGGGGATGGTGGCGTTTCCATACTGCCTTTCCAGGCCCATGATAGCTTCTGTACCCAAACAAAACRTTTGGGGGCAAAAGTAAAATTTATGACCTGTCTCACCAGTGCTGTTTAATTTTTTTTTTAACCAAACATATTGATTTATCTCTAGTAGTTTAACTTTTACTCTCCTATCATAAGTAAAATATTGTCCAAAAAGGAGCAAAGGTTAAAGAAATAACTTCTAGGACTGGGGTTGTGGCTCAGTGGTAGAGCGCTTGTCTAGCATGTGTGAGGCACTAGGTTTGAGCCTCAGCACCACATAAAAAWAAATAAATAAATTTATTGTGTTCATCTACAACTAAAAAAAGAAAGAAAGAACTTCTRAGTGGAAGTTCCCTTGTCATTATCATAAACTCTTTATCTTAACAAATATGTCATTTAATAAACTCTTAATAATAAGTAATTAAGATTAGACCTTAAATATTTGCTCTTCAATCTCCCTTGAAAAAGCCCCCTTTTGTGTCATTTTTGGGGCACATGACTTTAAAGTATTATTCTTAGAATGGGAACTTGCAGTCTATATATTCCTCTCCAGTTCTTTTGTTTTATGGTCCTTTGTCCCTGCTGGTCTAGTAGCTAACTCCTAACTCAGATTAGATTTTATTGTTTTTGTCCAAAGGCCATTTCAAGACTTACAGAGCAAAGAGCAGGACTGCAGTGATTTTCAGACTAAATTGTAGATGTATAAAAAAGTTCAGGGAGTAATGAAAACACCTAGCATTTTTGACAGTTTTTAAAGGAAGCCCAGTATACCACCAATTTAAAAAAATTGCATAGCCAAAATAACTTTGATTCTTTTGAAGAAGACAATTGAAAAGAGGTTTAAAAGTTTTACACTTGTCTGTGTCAGATCTTAAACACTCTGTTCCTCTGGAATCGACCTTAAGTAAATACCTGTTGAATAAAGTGGCTACCAGAAACTTCCTGTATAGATCCAGACTCACAGGGTAGGAAAAAGGGTCATAACCTCTGTTTAGGAGACTTACCACACTCCCTCAGTCTCTATTCTAATAAAGGTACCTCCATTTCATCACCCTTCTTCCTAAGAGTGATACAGTGTTTTTCTTTGGAACATTTGAAAACCACCAAACCAAACTGGGTATGTTTTGAACAAACTATATMGCTTTCCCCAGAGGTACCTCTGAACACTTTACAGGAGAGTGTGATTGCTTTTTATAATACTGACTTTAAAAGTTTAATGAGCTGGGTGCAGAGTTGCATGCCAGGTTCGTGGGAGGGTGAGTCAGGAGGATTTTTTCGAGTCTGTGAGTTCAAGACCAGCCTAGGCAAAATAGTGGGACTCTACCTTAAAAAAAAAAATAGGATATTCTAAATAGCTTTAACTTCCCCTAGTAGTCTCTGAATCAGTGTTCCCCCTACAAGCATCTGTTAGACACCAGCTATGTGTTGACACCGTGCTAAATGCTAGATATAAGAATTAAAGCCAGTGGTAAGAAGGTAACTCAACTGCTCAGCTTGATGTTGTCACTGGCTCTGAAACATCATTGAATCTGGTGAAGGCTGTCGGGCCTTGGGAGGAGAGCTGCGGTCTTTCTGTTCTTTATAAAGATTAATATTAAGAGGAAATAAGCACCTTTGAAAATTAGCATGTCAAACCCAATGGTGTTCCATAGAAGGTCACTTATTTCACAAACCTACCTTTAGGGATGTGTCTTGCTTTCCTTTTCATCTCTTTCTGTAATCTTTCTCTTTCCTTTCCCTTGCCCATTCTCTTTTCTTACTGCTCTTTTTGTAATCCCCTTATTGAAGCCCTTTTTTAATGGACATAATATAAAACCTAAGTTAATTCAATACATCTACTGACCTGAATAACATAACATGTCCTTCTACCCCCATTCTTCATTTTAAAATCAGTTTAACAGGACCATTCATGAACTGAATTTACTTCTATCAAGAAAAAAAATCCTGGGCATTTAATTACGCATTACTTATGCTACATAGTTTCCATAATTTWAAAAAAATGTTCTATTTTTGGTACAGGGATTGAACTCAAGGGCATTCGACCACTGAGCCACATTCCCAGCCCTATTTTGTATTTTATTTAGAGACAGGATCTTTCTGAGTTGCTTAGAGCCTCGATAAATTGCTGAGGCTGGCTTTGAACTTGTGATCCTCTTGCCTCAGCTTCCTGACCCACTGGGATTGCAGGCATGTGCCACCTCGCCTGCGCGTAGTTTCCATAATTTTTACTTCACCATTCTTGATTAGTCTTCAGTAATTTTCTTTCTGTGCTTTATTTGTCATGCTAATATAAAAGCAAATACAGTGTGTTCCAAAACCTTCAGGGAGTACCTGAAGGCACTGAACCCTATATATATCTATATMTATAGATATAGATAGATATAGATAGATAAAGTTTATAAATTAGGCACAGTAACCCTAATGATGACTACTGACAACAATTATAATAATAAACTGTAATAAGAGTTATGTAACTGTGTCTTATTGTACTGTTCTTATCCTTGTTGCCTTGGGTAATAGACACCAAGGGAGGTGAAATCATGGATAAGAGGAAACCACTTATATTGATTTTATTAATTTATTTAATACTTGAACTTTTGTATGGATCTTCAATTCATATAAGAGAACATTACAAGGTACCTAATATAACTTGTTTAAATTTTGGGAGGTATGTCAGATGTCATTTTTGGAATATATACCCGATGAATTCGCTTTCTGTCTGTATTGCATTTTGCCCTAGGTAGATGTTTTTATTCCTAAAAAGGATCATTTGGGTAAGTCACCAAAACTGCTCTGCATTCTTATGGTGTGTCTGTCAGAGTGGGCTCCAGTTCTGTTGGTCCTTCTGGGAGCAGAGAGGGTAGCCAGTGTCTTCTGCAGGTTCATTCTTGTGGTTGTCATCACCCCACTCTCCTCTTTGGGCTTCAGACTCTTTTGAAAAATGGTGTCTTAGTCACTTTCTAGCTCTAAAAATCTTAATCTGTGCGGTCCATCATAAATTTTATTATGTAATAATTTCCTACAGAAACAGGATAATTCATTCTATTATAACAAAATGAAATTTATTGAAATAGCAAGATGTGTTATCCTTGTGACCAAAATACCTGACAAGAACAATTTATAGGAGAAAAATTTATTTTGGGATTATGGTTTCAGACGTTCAGTCCATGGTTGGCTGGCTCCAGACTGGAAGGGGAGAGAGAGAGAGAGAGAGAGAGAGAACACATATATGTGCACACTTGAGCAAGCAAATAGCCCAAGATATAGTCCAAAGCCACACCCCCAGTAGCCTACTTCCTCTAGCCATGCCCCACTGCCTACAGTTGCCACCCACTAGTCCATTCAAATTGTTATTCCATCAAATGGATTAATCCACTGGTGAGGTTACAGCTCGGATAATCTAATCATTTCACCTCTGAACATTCCTGCATTGACTAACTCATGAGCTTTATGGAGGACACGAAAGATCCAAATTATGATACACAGATTGAGAAGTTATTGAGTAGCTATGACATCTGTGCATCCATATTTTGTCTTAGGTTCTGTGTCCTTCTGTTTTATAACAAGATGGTAAACTGTGTCTAGGATCTGAAATGGGCTCTCTCGTGGTATTCATCATGGCCTTTTATTTCCTCCACTTTGTTGGATTGGTTTCAGGGTGAGGTACATCTAAATTATCACAAAGCAAGGCAAGTTTCCATTTCCCTAAAGATGCAAGGCTGTAGTTGGCTGATGTGCCAGGTGTTTCGATAGCCCGTGCATTCACCAGTATACATGGGAGGGTCTGGGGCAWTTAGCTTCTTCTTACAGAACTTTCAGAAATAGGTAAAGAGAAGGTAACCTTCAAAGGACTATAGACGAAAGGTGTGTATATGCGGGAGCGCTTTGCATTGTTTGTTCTTTTCTTCTCCCAGTTTTCAGGACTCTACATCCTGTCCTTTACTGTCATCATGGTGGGGTTTATCCTGTACTGCTCCACCCCGACGCGCACAGCAGAGCCAGCGGAGAGCAATGTGCCCCCAGTCACCAGCATTGGAATTGACAACCTTGGACTGAAGCTTGAGGAGAGTGGTCTCCCAGAGACCCAATCTGCGGTCTTGTAGCTGGAGAGGATGGCACACACCTGTGCAGCACCAGGAGAAAGCAGAACCCACCGACTGCTGAGAGACACTTGGGGAAATTACAAGGCTCGGAATGAACCCTCTATAGCACTGGATTACACTCAGTGGTTAGATTTTAGAAAGGAACACTGAACAATGTATCAAAAATAGATATACCAAAATAGAGCAGAACCCAAGACTAGGACCTGTTTCTTCTGTGTGTTAAGGACCAAAACCTTTGGGTGAGAGGGAGACAAGGTGTGGGCTCAGAAGTACATGTGAGAGAGCAGAATGGGGGAATACCCAAGAGTGAACCAGCCTTGGGYAGGGTCTGAAAGCAGGCTGTCCAGCCTGGGCCAAGTGCTCAGGAGTAGGGATGGTCCAGGGCGGTYCTGGAACAGGTTTCCTCTGTTGGAAACTTTGGGGTTTTGTCCTGCTGAGGCAGTTATCCACAGGCCTTGTGGCCTTTGGGCACAGATGAGTCCTGGCCACTGATTGCATACGGTGGGAAAATGGGTGGGGCAGCATTTGAGAGGTTCTGAGATAAAAGAATGAATAATATGGAAGCATGAAACTGGAATGTAGTAGCCTAGAATYCTCTCTCAACTGTATGCTCTCTCTCTTTTTAAATATTTCTCCTCCATCATTCCCAGCTCCTCACTGGTCACATTTGTTCCTTCATTCCAGGGCCCAGAGCAGACTGATCTTAAAGTCTGTGACGGTGAACATCCCTTCTACATTTTCAGCTTCACACCATATGCCAAGATTTCTCAAACCTGAGCAAATATGTGGATACCATCCTTTAACAAAAATTCTCATGAATCCCAGAAATATTCCCTATTGATCTCATTTTACTGTTTCAGCTCAGAAAACTAAGTCTTACAGCAAATTATCACAGCAAGGAGAAAACTTTATTTGTATAACTGGTAAAGAAAATAGATTATCATCAAAATGAAAACATAAAATGAATGATTTTTCAGAGAATAGTATGCCCCAGAGCCTAGGAAGCCTCCATTAGTTGATAGAGAGCTCTATACTACTTCCTACCAAAATGTTTGTAATGCCATGAGATTTTGATGATTCTTTTTCAATGTAAAGTGTTAACATGCAGCATCAGTATAATATCAACCACCAAAATGACACTTTCAGAAAACTTTGTTTGTAAAAAAWTTTTTTTTATAAAAGTATAATACAACAATTGGGGCTAAATAAAGATTTTGAATTCACAAAATATAGTTATTGTGTGTTTTCTTAGGTTCACTGAATCCCCTGGTGGACRTTAAATGACTTCATATATTCAAGATCTTTTATATCCAATTTTTTAGAATCATGTCTCCTGTGAGGTGAGGCAGACATACCTATTTGGGGGCTACTGTGGGATTGAGGGAAATTGATACTGAGCTTACAGGTCATTTGTAGGAATCTGAATGGCCACAATGGGATTTTTACTTTTTTGAATAAATATACTTTCATTCTCTGAAACCTATTAAAACTGCCTTCCTAAACTCTTCCCTCTCTCCCTTCCCCCTTTCTTTCTTTGTACAGGGGTTTGAGTCCAGGGTGTCATGCATGCCATGCTAGTGCTCTGTACTGAGTTATATCCCCAGACCTGCCTGTCCCCTTTAAAACATTTTTTTTTTTTTGAGACAGGCTCTTGCTAAGTTGCCCAGACTGGTCTTGTACTTTTGATCCTCTTGGCTTAGTATCCTGAGTAGCTGGAATTATAGGTTCACACCACCATGCTAGATTTTTATGACAAAGTACTCATTGAGCAGGTTACAGTGGTGCATGCCTGTAATCTCAGTTATTCAGGAGGCTGATCCAGGAATATCTCAGATTTGAGGATAGCCTTGGCAACCTGGCTAGACTTTGTCTCAAAATTTAAAAAAGAGCTGGGGACATAGCTCAGTGGTAAAGCATGCCTGGGTGGTTCAATTACCAGCACTATAAATTACAAACAAACAAATAAATAAATATTTAAATATGTGGTGATTCCTTTGAAAATCAAGAGCATATGCAGGCTTTTGAAACACCACATTCTTAARCTGAGAGTCTTCTCTAAATTCTTTTTGCCTATTAGAACAATATTGATTTTTCAATAATTTTAATAGATATTCATGGCATTTAAAAAGACCCCTATGAATGAGAGAGTTGCTAGAATGTTGCCTAGTGTTGTATAGATGTGATAAATTGGGCAACCGGACTGTGGTAGCACTATAAGAAGAGAGGACTTTGCCTATGCCATGTTCACTATTTGTATTTTGAAATTGGGTTTTCTTTGGTAACAGTTAACAATTCTAACCTGATGACAGCAGCATCTCATCCAATTGATATGTATCAGTGGCCTTTCCAGCAGSTGGCGCTTTAACAATTGTAACAATCCAGAAATTGTGATATAAATAACAGTGTCATTTTATGGCACCACCATGCTGTACTGTTAGCGTATTTGATTTTTTTAAATTTGTAGATGGAAATGATACCTTTTATTTATTTATTTATTTTTATGTGGTGCTGAGGATCGAACCAGTGCCTCACATATGCTAGGTGATTGCTCTACTACTGAGCTACAACCCCAGACCCCAAGTGTATTTTTTCCTGCATCTTTTTTTTCCACGTCTATTTTTTTTAAAAAAAGGTTATTATAATGAATTTCCTCAGCAGAGATTGCTGTTGCTTAACAGTTGAAGAACTGGGGGTTCAGAAGAGTTGAAACACCTTTGGAAGCTCACACAGATTTGGGGGGTTAAGTAGAAACAGGATGCAGATTTAAAATTTTTTAGTTTAGCCAGAATCTGGTTCCTGCTCAGTATATTCTCAGGGGTCATGGTTCCTGTGGGACTGCTGAGTCGGTGAATGCAAATGCTACTCTTTTGAGAGCTGTTGGGAAGATTTTTGTGGAAAAACTAGCTTGGTAGTGTTTTCTCTGCAACTCTGGAGCCTGCCCTTTAAAGAGARCTGTCTACTTTTGTCTCCACAAGGTGTTTTGCATGCCTAGTCACGATTCTCGTTTCTATCATAATTATGGTGATGTGCCATTTCATCCTCATTGAATCACTTAGTATCTGGACATATCCTCAGCCCTCAAAAGATATCAATAAATCAGGGAAATTCAGCAGATAGCCACTTAGCTGATTAAAAGGCAAGAGATTTATGAGCAAATTAGGTAATGCTGAACATGCAATTCTCCAGTAGTCATATAAAGGGTGTTTTGGAAACTCTGACGCTATATAAAAGATATATCAGGGGAATAAAACCTCTTCAAAACAGCAGAATGTAACCTGCCCTTCCATGTGTGAACCTGTAGAATTTAATGCCCCAAGGTTTTTTSTCCCCATGCTCAACAATTTTCACTATGTACTTTATTCCTTGATTTAAATAATGCCCTCTTCTAATAACCTTGGTCTGAAATGCAGACACTTTTGGAGAGATTGAAGATTGAAGGAGGGAGGGTAGACCTGATACTGATATAAAAAGGTAGGCCTTTTGAACAATCATTGTCACTAACTGACCATAAACAAGCATTTAGATGTTTCCAGGCACTTGTCGCTCAATCTGCTATTGCCACTCACTGGGGATGCCAAGAGTTTATACACAAGRTACGACACAGAGAGCTTGCAATGCTAGTAGCTACAGTTTCCTTGTGAATCCCACCTTTTCTGTGCTTTTCCACATTTGCCTGATTATTTTACATTCTTTCAGATTCATAATCTGACTTTGGCCTGTGATCCTCTGTAGATCCTACTAGTTCAGTGCATCCACCTTTAGAGATCACACACACACACACACACACACACACACACACACACACACACCATCACTAAAACAAACCTCACCAAGATCTACTTTCTTAGGAATTACTATTCTCAATAAGATGGATAGTAGTAGTTTCAGGGACTCTGCCCCTGCCTCTGGCAACATCCAAAGGCCTTCCTGAAGAACTTCATTTCCCCTCTGTTAGCTTGAGTGTATTGGGTACCCATACTTGGACACAGTTGGTGTTCAGCAGTTTTTTGTTCTCTGTTGTCAATCTGGAGGATTACATAGGCCATGAAAGGGCCAAGGTTGGTCCCCTGATTTGCTAACTAGAGTGGGAGACATGCCARAGCAGGCAGATTTGGCTCAGCAGAGAGGCTAATTTGGCTGGTGAGCCCAGTCCACTATCCTGGGTACTCTTGGTTATGATGTAGTAACATGGCTGAAGTCCATATCTCCTTGTGGGGGGCAGAGCGGGAAGACTCCAGGCTAGGCCAGCAAACGCTGATGGGGAGATCTATCTGTGGATAACCAGGCACTCTCTTAACAGCCTGGAATTTAGCGACCGCATGCCAGTCTCTTAGGGAGAAGGCTAGCTAGAGGATGGGAGGGTGTTTAAATAAGTCCTCAAGGTGGGATACCTGGCATGGGGAAAGAAACTGAGGAAGGTGAGACTCCTGGACACCTGGGGTGAAGATGAACTCAAGAAAGGTAACTGYGGGCGTTAAAGACAGACTGAACTCAGTCTGCTATTGGTTTAGCAATAGGCCTGTGTCCTTAGAATGTTATTAAACTTCCTAATATGGAAATTCCTGAAGCTGACTATCCCACCATTGCCTCAAGCCCAGGAAATCAAATTGAAGCATGTTGTGATTTCTATTCCCTTCTCGTCTTCCGTCATCTCCTCTCACCTTTGAGTGTCCACTTCTGAATTCCATATTGCATTAGTTGCACTGTTCTAGTGTTGCTCAGATGCAAATCTTTGAAACTATATCAGATTTTTTCTCACTCATTACATCCAACAGGCACCAACAGGCTATTCTTTGATGATAACTCTTATAACTGTCTTTCTTGTTATTTTCAGTTCTTTCATTAGCTCAAATTCTCATTACTTTTTTTTCATACTCATCCTATACCCTTCTATATTAATCACTGTTCTCTAAAGAAACAGAACCAATAGGGCATATAGATATACAAAGAAAGATTTTTAATGAGTTTTTATTTATTTCTCATGCTTCACTGTTTATCTT